ATCTTCTAGCACTTAAGATCTAATTTTCTCTATCAATTGAGAGTTTTGTAAGCCTTAATTTTGTTGTAAGAGCAGTCACAGGGAAATAAAAATGAACACATTTCAGTTTGGGGAATTAAATCTTTTTCCTATAATTCTTATTTTTTCCAACAAGGAAAAACTTCATTGCAATATTAAAAGAAGTGACAGTCAAAACAATGTGATATATATTGGCAGCTGTCTGTCACAGCTTTGATACAGACAGTCAGATATTGATAGGACTCTTAACAATCTTAAGAGCAAGTGTTTCTGTCAAGCATGATGGTACTGGCCTTTAATCCCAGCAGAGGCAGGCAGATCTCTCTGATATTGAAGCTATCCATTTCTACAGGGTGAGTTCCAAGCCTGCAGAGGCTACAGGGAGAGACCCTGTCTCAAAAAGACCAAAAAAAAAAAAAAAAAAAGCATATATTTTATTCTTTCTTTGGTTTACTGCTCAACTTGTAGAAAAATGTATCCTAAGGCAGGAGGTTAAGGTCATCCTTTGCTACATAGCAAATCTGAGATCATCATGGGCCACATGAGACCCTATCTCCAAAACAAAACCAAAAACCAGAAAAAAAGAATAAAAGTTTATGTTTGGAAAAAATTAGTGAAGCTCTTTAGAGTTTCTGTTTTTCAACTTAGTATTTTCTGGACCTTTTTCCATGTTAATATTCTTCTCAAAGGTTATTTCAATAGCTGCTTCGTAATCCATTAGATGGCAGGCATAATGCATTCAAAACGCTTATCAGATCTTTCCCTTTTATTAATACAAACAAAGGTAAAAGCTTTGTAATTTAACCTTTACGTACATTTTCCCATTATTCTTAAGAGGTACTACAAAAAAAATATATATGCTCAAGAGATAAAGCAGAACTCTGAGAAACTCTTAAGAGTCCAGGCCAATAATTAAATCTCACACCCTTCCACCCAATATCAACTTTGTAGAGGAAGAACAATAAAGCTACCAACATCCAGATACAGTATTTTTTTTCTTTCATACATTTATTATTTATTTATTTATTTATTGTGTATGTGTGCACATGTGCACATCTGTGCTATGCTGTGCATGCATGCTATGGCATGCATGTGGGGGTCAGAAGGCAACTTCTGGGAGTCGCTTCTCTCCTTTGATCATGTGGATTATGAAGAGCAGCTCAGTTTGTCAGGGTTGACAGCGGGCACTCGCACCTGCTGAGTCATCTCACCCACCCCAGCTATTATTTTTAATTTAGTTATTTGGTTGACCAGATGTTTCCTTTAAGCAAAATGGTAAATTCACATTGTAATGAAGGTAAGAATATCTTCTTCCGGTCTCTGAAATGTCCCCACAAGTCACTTGTCACGCATGGTGACTCAGTGTGTATCTAATGTAGAAAAGATTACCAAGGAACTTACTTAATTTTTGGCTTATTAATTTCATTCACTTTTATTTTTAAGACAGGGTCTTACTATACGATGTACTCATTGCTCAAGCAATCCACCTGCTTCAGCTTCTCAAGCAGCTGAGACTGAGGACACTCTCTGTACAAGTCTCAGGCACCTGACTCAAATTTAAATTTTTAAAATGATGTATTTATATTGTTAGGAAATCTTTTTGCATGTTTGGAACATTTGGTATATGAACCAGATTTTTACCTGTAAATTTTGTAAAATCTAAGTGTAAGTCAAGTATTTCTAATAAGAGTTTAGTGACTTAACTTTACTGTGAATGAGTATAAAATACATACTCTATTTTAAATATTTAGTTAGAACAAAATGTAAAATACTGCATTAATTTTTTTCATGAATACAGTTGAAATGATTGGATTTTTTATTTATTAGGTTAAAGGTATTGTCTAATTAGTCTAGCTTACTTTTACTTTATGTAATACATTCTATTTCTGTTGGACAACACTTATAAGGAGGAATACCAGTCAGAGGTTTAAGTTTCTAAAATTGGCAAATGAAGTGCATTAGAAAAATGTTTATTATGAGGGAAAAGCAAAGGAGTCAGACCTCCCAGAGACATCTGACAAGCCACACAGCTTTATTGACCTGTACTTCCTCATATAAGGTAGGTAGAATAGTGTCCAAATGAAAACAAGTATTTGCAAAGTGTCTGGCATATTACAGGTGCGCGTAAACTTTCATCAGTAATTGTTTTCAATACAAAGTAGATATGTCAAGGAATTACTGAGAATTAATACCTCTTGGGATCTACATCTTCCTGTGAATAAGATACATTCTGTGACTCCTTCCAGCCTACAATACCAAGATAACGTTGTTAATACACTTTACAGGTAAGTGACAGAGACCTCTGTACCTAATGTTCTCAGCAAAAGAGTTGCAGAATGGATGTATTATTTCCATTTGCGTTTCTTTAGTCTGTCTGTGTGTGGGGTGGTGGTGTATATTTGTGGTATGTGTGCACCTGTGTGTGTATACATGTACCCATGTATGCTTATGAATGACATCAGGTATTCTGCTCTACCAATTTCATACTCTTGAGACAGGGTTTCCTCTCTCTGAACCTGAATCAAGGTTAGCTGTCAGCAAGAGATCTTCATGTCTCTGCCTCCCATTGCAGTGGGATGACAGGTGCTCATGGCCACACCCCAGTTTTTATGTGGGTGCTAGGTATTTGAACTCAGGTCCTCATGCCTGTGAGGGAAGTGGTCTTACTCACTGAGCCATCTTTTCAGCCCACCACTTGTGTTTTAAAATGGTACAATCAAACTGATTTCCCAAAATACCATCATTATTTTGTGTGAATGTAGAGTTCAGTTTAAGGGCACTTAAAATAATATCAGAATACTCATATATCCCTTAGGGCTTCCATATTCCAACATGGGGATGAGCAATGTTTATTTTAAATTAATTATATCTCATTGCTGTACTGTTCTTGTCTGTAATCTAGAAAGCATTGTAAATCCTTTCTGTATTAAACAATACCACAATCATTATAAGGTTAGAACAGGTAAGCCCAGGACAAATAAAACTAAATACTTCTTTCTAAAGTTAATAATAAAACTGTGGGAGACATTTCTTTTCACTAAAAGTAATATGTAAGTTGAAACATCTGTTCCAAAAGCTTAGATAAATACATAACTAGAAATTAATTTTTCTGAAAAGTGAAAAATGACAAGAAACACCAGTCCTCTCTATAAGGAATCTCGTTGAACTACTGAAGCCTGACTAGACAGCTTAAAGATCCACCCACTGTGGAGTCTTAAGCTTCCAAGAGAGCTAACAGTATAATGATCTTGCACTTCATCAATGGGCCTGTTGCCCTTTTTGTGCCCAGTGTTTCATTTTGTCCCCTAATCAGCTTTTAAATTTATTTTGTTTAGTCCCTACCATATGCTAATTGTCCTTGAACCTCTCAGATTTGTCTTATCACTTGGTCAAGGGCACTGAAGTAGAATGAAAGTGAAGAAGGAGAACATATTTTCAGTGACTTAAAAATTGGTTAGACTATATTTGTATGAGTGTGTATGTGCATGGAGATGCAATCTCAATCTTATATGACTTGCCACCAATACAAATTTGCAGTTAAATTATACCACACCCAAATTCATAAAAATTACCTTTTGGATTCCAAAAATAAATTTCTGTTGTCGTAGAGTAAAACTCTAAAGCTGAATTACGGCTTTCCAAGTTACTACAATAGGTTTCCTTTTGATTTAGGACATATTTTGTCACTGTAATTCTCAAGAATTTTCTCCAAGTTGTTCATCAAGTTATTTAGTAATTCAAATCAACTTCACATTAAAGCCTTTCAGTTCATTAGCTCAACATTGAATAGTGAACTTTCCAGGAAACAATAATGAAAGACTAGCAGTTCTTAGGAGTTTATCAAATAATATTTTTCTTAACTTGTTTATTTACTGATATTAGCATCATAATTGTCAGCCACTTGAGAACAAGGGGAGGTTTTATTTTCTACACCTTCATTCAGAAGCAAATTGAAAAGTAGTCCTGAATAACTGGATGGAAGACAGACAAACATGCTGAATTTCAGAATCTTCAATAAGAGATGTTCAGTTTGGAAACTTTTGGAACCCATTAGCTAAAACCATAGGTATGGTATAACCGATAGGTAATGAATACTGTATTCTGTGCCAACCACTACTCAAGGTATTAAGACTAAAAGAAAAGCTGTATATTCAAACCATGAAAGGGAGGGCTGGGTGCACTGAATTAATCCGAAGTGAATTTTAAATAGAAATATATAAATTTATGAAAAACAAAGCAGTAAATCTCCTCTCTAGAATAGGTTTTCTTCCCAAGTGAGCATGATCAATCTACTTGGTCAGGTGTCCTGAGATTTGCAGTAGGTTTTATGCTTTTTGTTCTTGCTCAGAAGACCACAGTCTCCTTACACAGACAGGTCCTCAGATACCCTGTCATTTCAAATACCCTTGAAACTTTCAGATACCCTTGAAAGTTGAAGATAGAAAAGGAGAATAAGATCAGAAACAGATCAAAGAGAATGTGCATTAACATAAAAGCAAAGTTTTGTAAAATATTGTACTCATATTAGACCAGAAACATAATCAGCCAATAACCCAAGGCAAACAGCCAAGATCTACCAGAAATGAGTAATGGCATACAATGAGAACTATCAGTAAAAGAAAACAGTGCAGAAGTCCTCTGGATACACTTGTGGACAGGCAGAAAGCCTTGATAAGTGTAGACTAACAGCCTGTCAGCTGCTGGTCCTCCTGGAAGAGCAAATCTTCTAGGCTCCACACAGCTTGCAAAAAACATCAACTTCTCACAGGCACAAAGAACCTGATGTGGCAAATTCGTTCATTACAATTTAGCAGACATTACCTTTGGTTCTTCAAAGACCAAATGATAAATCAAGAAGCCTGACCACTTCTGAGATCAATATGTTTCTTAAGTTTACAGCAAATATTTCTTTGAGGAACGGATGCACTGACCCAGTTGGTTGCATTAAACCCACTCCACCAGGTCACCCAAGTTACACTTACGCCCAGCATCCGGTGGATGTAGTAGTATTCCGGCCCCTGATTGTACAGCACGAAAGTTTTCCAGAAAAGCAGGACATTCAAGGATAACCAGATGACCTAACCAATCAAAAGGGAAGAGAAAGCAAAATTTTTAAAAAAGAAATACCACCTGGTGAAGGAAACCATTCACTTGACACAACACTGCAGATGCAAACTCAGTTAGCAGTTACAGAAAGAACTCTCAATCAGAACTCAACCAGAAAGGGAAAATCCATCCAGGGGTAATGTTCATCTGGCATTACCCAGCCCCTCCACCTGAGGGTGTTTGGTGGTAAGTACATCCATCTACAGATCTCCAGATACTTTATGTCCCATCCCCAATACAGAATGAGAGTAAGAAAAAATTAGTGGCATCACAGTGTCCGAAGGAAACAGAAACAACTGGAAGAGCAAATGAGGCAAACGTGTTGAAGAGTTAAGAAGTTGCATTTGCTTTGCCTTGCTCCACATCTGCTCTCCCATCTCCGTCATAAAGTTCCTAAGCACTTGCAGGCTTAAACAATGCATAAAGTTGTGGAAGGTGAGGTTTCAAATGAGACCCCCCCCCCCCCCCCCGCCCCAGACTTCCACTTCTCTTGTCCCACCCCAGCACCGCCTGCTCAAAGAATGAATCAAACTCGCAGCAGGAGAAACAAAACCGCAGGCCCGCCATCCTACCAGGCAGAGGTGTTTAACCCCTTCGTTGGCCAGCCAACTTCTCCAGGACACAGCCATGCCTCGGGTGCCGCGGTGCTGCGCTCGGTACGGGCAGACAAGGATCGAGCAGCGGCCGTGGCAGCGGTTCCAGTGGCTCATCCGGCGGGGGGCGGGGGACCGAGGGTCAAAGACTGAGCGGAGCCCGGAGGCCGGGCCGGTGGCGGGTCTCCGCCCCGGCTCCCACCCGCTCCGCGCCCCGGGCCACCGGGCCCACGCCCCGCTGGCCCTGCGTACCGCCCCTCGCCCGTCCCTTTGTCTCCACCGAGCCTGTGTTGTGGCGGAGGCTCAGGACGTCCCGGTGGGACGGTGGATCCCCTGCAGCCTCCAGCTGGGCCTGCCTTCCCCGCTGCAAACACCAGCACAGATGTGGAGAAAGATAGTCACAGACAAAAGTGGGGACGCTCACTTCCTCCAGAAACATACACACACACACACACACACACACACACACACACACACGCACCCTAGACCCCCAAAAGTTCAACTGAAAGAAACTTGGTAAGGAAACTTGAGCCGGAAGTGGCCTTTTGTGTATTAGCTTCTCCCATCCTGCCCATCCTAGGTGACCGGCCCTACCTCCAAACAAATGCCCCTCTCAGCCATTACCCTAACTCTCCCGCAGCCCCTCCCGCCGCCTCTACCTGCTGCCCCACTCCCACCCTATCTGGAGGTGAGGCTTTTCAGCCGGGGCTGAATGAAAACCCAGTAGGCAAAAGGTTAACGCTTACGTCATTCTCAGGAGCTTTAGGGAAGCCCCGCTTCACTCTAAGAATCTGTTTTATGCTGCCCAATTGAAGAGTCAATTTAGTAACAGGCAACCTCTCAAACTTACACCAGAGGCCCAGAAGAGTTGAATGGACACGGGTTACCTGTCCCACACCACAGCACACCGGTAATACAGAAAAGGAAAACAATCAATCAGTCATACAGAACAATGTTTGCAGCATAATAGAAGCTCAGTGAAAGTTTATTAAATTACCTGACAGGTAACAGAAGAACATTCAGAGCTGTTAACCTAATCTGGTGACTTTCAAACTTTTTTCCAAATGAAATGCAATCACACTGGCCTTTCGAATTGAAACTAAAATTTAAGATAATACTGTCTTTCACACAATGCCCTTGTCCCAATTATCTTGATAAACTGTATAATTATTTCAACCTTCAGTTTGAAAAATTGGGGTAACTCCATATCAAGTCCTAGTTAACTGCCACACGAGTTACTGTCATCTCATTTTAACATATAACCTCCCTATCTCAAGTATGATTAAGTCAAGACAACTTCTTCAACTCTTTCCGGAGGTAAGGACCATATTATGTATAAATGATACTGAAATCTTATTGGCAATGTGATACTTAAAGAAGTTAGAAAGTTAGACATGGAAACTGCCGGATCATCACCACAGAGGGAAGGTCTCTCTGCACATCTGTGCTCCTGAAGCTGTCCTTTCAATAAACCTAGTGAGGTCTATTGGAAGTGAAATAGTTAGGTCTCCACAATGTGTTGAGAAGAGCAAGCTGATTGAAAAGAATAGTTGCATAAAAGAAATGAAGAATTGTAAAGGCTCAGCTACTTTCAGAAAAAAAGCAACAATAACAATAAAAAGGGCAAAAGAGCAAAAATGGTCCAAATCTAAAACCATGCCTACTAAGTTTCAGGCATCGGTTTTTATATTTGGTGCAGGAAACTCGCAGTTCTCAAAGCAGTTTTCCATGCAGATGGGTATTAGGGCCACCATTTTAATGATGAGGAAACCAAAGCTAAAGGAGATTTTAAATTTTATTTTAGTTCAACCCATAATCATGTCTGCTTGTGAGTCCTTTAATAAGAGAATGCCCCAAAAATGTTGATTATGATATTCATCACTGTTATTTTCTGGCTAGAAGAAGGGGAATCCAGAATTTAAGTGACTTGTAAGGAAGAAACTGTATTACAGCAAACTATCCCCATGGAAGAGAGTTGCTGATGTGTCATGCAAGAGCAGTCATTAATCTGGTTCTTTGCAAAAATTTCTCTAAGAAAGAATGGTTAATGCAAGTGGTTAGTGTATTCCCAAAATTAGGAAAGGTTGCCCTCAAAAATAATAAAAAGAGGGGCTAAGGAAAGGGCTCAATCAGTAGTGTTTGCACCCTATGTATGAGGATACTACTTTGATCCTTAACACCAAGGTTTAAAAAAAAAAGTGATGGCGTATGCCTGCAATCCAGCAATGAGACAGAGACAAGAGGAGACAGGAAGATTGCTGTATTTTAGTGGTCCTCTAGTTTAGCCTAGTCTACAGTGAGGTCCATGTTCATTGAGAGACCCCCTCTTTAAAAAAATATTGCTGAGCGGCAATGTGAAGAAGCAAGAATGACCAAAACGCTGTTCCTCCGCATCTCCATGTTCATCACCTATGTCCAGACATTGACCTCACCACCATGCCATGCCAATAGAAAGACTGAAGATTGGAATGCTAGGGGAGGTAAAGCTAAGTGTGCAGGGTGGTCCACTAAACTTTCTTCGCCAAACCCAGATCCCAACCTAAAAAGGCCCCTGCAAAGAAGGGAGACAAGGTACTGCAGAGGGAACAATGGAAACGCTAATACTGACTCATATAGGAACAACCCCAGAGAAAATGGAGATCCCCAACAGAATAAGCACTGACAGCAGAAACTGCTGGAGATGCCAAGGGCAGTGTGTGTTCTGATAGTGGCTGTACAGTTTGAAATATTATTTTATTAAATTTTATCAAAATACAGAGTTTTGTTTTATTTTATAAGGCTCTGTTGTTAGTATACAGCACACTTCAGTGCTTTGAGGAAGAATATGCGTCACTGACAAAATATCTCCAAAGCTGGATTGATGTGAGGAAAACACCTTTCTCTGCTAATATGAAAGACCCCTTTTGACTCCTAAGAATGATTCCCTGGTATTAACATGCATTGTCACCTTGGCACAAATTGGTTTATGTTATGGGAAAACTAGATATTAATTTTTTAAATTTTTAATTTATTATTTTTATTTTATGTGTATAAGTGTATTGCCTGCATGTATGTAAGTGCACCCATGTCATACAATATCCAAGGAGGTCAGAAGAGGATTTTGGATCCCCTGGAACTGGAATTACAAACAGTTTTTAGTCGCCATGTGGGTGCTGGCAACCAAGCCCAGGCCCTCTGCAAGAGCAGCCTGTGCTCTTAAGCACTGAACCATCTCTCCAGCTCCTCCAAATTCATTTTTATATCCTCCTCTGCCTACACCATCAGCATAGACTTAAAATCAGAGATCTATTAGACCTGATTCCTAAAACTGGCTTTGCCAGTATGTCAGAGGATGTGGACTTTGCAGTGATATCACAGAGATAGAGGTCCTCAATAGAGCAGCATTCCTTTTCTATAAAAGTGTGTTTTCAGAATGATAATTCTGACACTTTCACTTCATTACCTGAAAATCCAAGGTGGCTTATGAAAAGTCATGATACATGCTTTACATGAAATGCCAACCCTCACCCTAAAAGCCTGTTCAAGCATCAAATGACTAAGTCACTAGATTTGATAGTGGCTTTCTGATTCTGATAGTCAAACCAAGAAGAGAGACTGTAAGTTCTTGAAAACAGATAATGATTTTATGTCTGTGTCCTGCCTAAAAAAACATGATTGGTTATGAAAACTGTCTTTAAATAAAGCTGGATAGAGTTTGACCTGAGAAAAATATGGTGGAGGACAATCAAGGAAGACACCAATGTTAACCTTAGGCCTCCACAGACACATGAACACATACACACATGCACACACACACACACACACACACACACACACACTTTAAAAAGAGAGTGCTGTAGCTCTGTCAATATGTTTCAACCATCATAATGGACAGCATATTTTTGCCAGTTAAAGACTTCATAAGAAAAGCTTACATAACAAGCATAGTTATTCTTGGCTAAAATAATGCTAATATTCAGCTTGTGATATAATAGTTATCATTGTATGCTGGCTAAAAATGTCCCAGTTTGAGACTATTCTGTTTATTTTTGTTTATTTGTTTGAGACAGGGCCTTGCTATATAGCCCTGCCAGACTGTCAGCTGACTGTAATCTTCTTGGCTCTGTTCCCTGAATGCTGGAATTATATAGGTATGCCCCATCAAGTCCGGCCTTAAATATATTCTTGATCTATTATCTCCTACTTAGAAAATACAGTAGCATTTAGGCATACATTGTCATCAGCGGGAAATTCATGGGTGAAATTTGATAAGTTCATTTATTTATCCTGCTTTTTCATATACTCCATCTGCCCTGTCACAAACATACGATTTTCTCTATACCACCTTCTCTGTACACAGAGACTTATCTAAAAGTGTGAACTTATCAGTGCATTCACAGTGTCCTCTATGCATGATCATTCTTGCTTTAGCCACATATTAACTTAGATTTGTGTATGTGTATGTGCTTACTTCTCCTAATAAACTAGGCTTCATAAAAACAAGTACCCTGGTGGGGCTGGAGACATGGCTCAGCAGTTAAGAGCACTGACTGCTCTTGTGAAGGATCTGGGTTTGAATAGTGGCTAACAACTGTCCATAACTCCAGTTCCTGGGGCTCTGATGACTTCTTCTGACCTTCACAGGCATTGCATGACATGGGTACACTTACATACATGCAGGCAATATACTCATACACATAAAATAAAAATAATAAATAAAATAATTTTTAAAAAGTACCCTGGGGCTGGAGAGATGGCCCCGCAGTTAAGAGTACTGGCTGTCTTACAGAGGACCATGTTCAGTTCCCAATACCACATGGTAGCTAACAACTGTCCCTAACTCCAGATCTAGAGGGCCAACACCCTCTTCTCGCCTCCACAGGCATTGCATGCACACAGTGTACCTAAATACATGCAGACAAAATACTCATTCACATAAAAGAAAAATTAATTAATTAATTAAAGCATCCTGTCTTATCAGTCTTGATATGAATCTTGACATATCGAATGAATTTCTATAATGTTCATTAAGTGAATGATTCATGGTGAACTATATCATCCTTCAGACTATGCCATTCTTAAACCGCCCTTTCTCAAGTGCAACTTGTAAAGAAAGCTACTACAAACTGCAATTTCAAACAACTGAAATGTGTTCTCTCACAGTCCTGAAGACCAGAGATCTGAAGTGAATGTTACTGAGTCAAGACCAAGATGTTGACAGATCGTTGACCGAGGTGCCAGGAGGAAATATGCTCCTTGTCTCGTTTCTGATAGCAATCCGCAATTCTTGACTTATGGCTACCTTGTCATAATCTATGCCTTCCTCCATGGCCATATTGCCATACTGTGTTTCTCTCTCCTTTCTCTCCTCTCTCTCTTTCCTTTCTCTTCCCTCTCTCCCCTTTCTCTTCTCACTCTCCTCTCTCATTTTCTCTCTCCTCTCTTCCCTTTCTCTCCTTTCTCATCTCACTCTTCTTGCTCTCTTCTCTATCCCCTCTCTTTCTCTCTCCTCTCTCTCTCCTTTCTACTCTCCCCCCTTTCTCTTCTCCCTCTCCTTTCTCACTCTCTTCTTCCTTTCTCTCTCGCCTCTCTTTCTTTTCACTCTCCTCTGTCTTTCTCCTCTCTTCTCACTCTCCTCT